AGCATTCTTCAAAATAAAAGACTTCCTCTCTCCAAAATAAATCATAAATCAGCAAAAGCTGAATGGCCTCCTTTAAGCGTCCTGAGAAACAATCACCTAATGATCCTGATTCATAAATCTCTACTCGGCTTGGCTCCAGCATACTTAAACTTTCTTTTACATAGATCTGTTAATTCCCATTCTTTACGTTTTAACAATATTTTTATTTTGCATGTTCCACGATTATTCATCTCTGATGCTATGTTGCATCACTATAAATCGGAATCTGAAAAGTTGTTGCTATCCCAGCTGATGGATCCCTGTGAACCACACAAAAAGGCAGGTGCTCTAGGACGAAAAAGTGAAAGAAAACAGAAGGTTAAATTGTAAATGTGATAGGAGTTTATTTCTAATGCATTCCAGATGCAAAAATATTTTTAAATCTCTCTACTGAGGTTTCAATTCAGATAAAGATTTCACAAATCACAAACTAGGTTTGAAATGTTATGCCATTAGCGTAGATTAGAATAATCTACTCCAGATTTGAAGTGTCAATGTATGTTCGTTTTTAAAGCAGAACAAATGATTTCTTAACATTTATATGTTAAATATAATTTCCAGTTACTTATTTACAGTCATATGTCAAGTCATATGTTAAGTATAATTTACATGTTTATTATTCACCAAATTTAACTTGATTGTACACAATTCCAAAAGGTGACGTGAAAAATAATTAAATTCAAAGCTTTTGCTGATTTATGGTTTATTTTGGAGAGAGGAAGTCTTTTATTTTGAAGAATGCTTAACAGGATCTAGTTTTGTCTTTTGCCACTATCGAGCCTTCTGTTGATTTCGGTTGCTTGGTTACGAACAGCCGTTGTTCAGCAAGTGTACTGTTAAAAAAAAATCTGAACAGAAACTGGTCAGCAAATACGTCTGAGCCTCCGTTATAATCTCCCTTTAGCCATTTCCCGAATCAGAAGCTACAATCGGAAGCCAACTTGAACTTCGATCCAGACAGTCAGGAACGCCGCTACAGCTAGAGGACCGGACTGACGTTTCCTTCTGTGCAGTCCCGTTCTGTTTAGGATCCTGCTCAGAGTAGAGTACCATGCTATTAATGGTTTTAACCACAGTGCAAAGCAGCATCCGTATCTCTACATGTTGTAGACCAAACATGATAGGAAACCTGACCAATTCATGTTAGCCACTGTACTAGCCTAGCATAATACCGCCACTTCCTTGACATAAAATTATCACGTTTATACAAGATAAGTATGACGTTTTAACAAAAAGTATCACGTTTTAACAAGATACGTATCACGTTATAACGTGATAGCGCTCGATTTTTTTTCTCTCCGTGATAGCAATGCGCTTCCGTAAAACGAGGCACACCATCCTCTAAAAAATGTTTGTCATATTTAATATTTTAAATAATAAATGCTTTCTTCAATAGCTTCCAAATCGTGTGCCCCATGAACTCAAACTCTGTGTGAAATCGTTCTTCTAGACTGTATAAATGAGGCACACTCATCTTTATTACATTTGAACACTTATATATATAGCTTTTAGTATTTTTCTTCAATAGCTTCTAGGTCATGTCAACCATTAACTCAAAATCCTTGTGAAATTATTCTACTAAACTATATAGATGAGGCATATTTTATTCCATTTTGACCCCTTTTTATTTTTTAACCAAATTTATATTTAAAAAATATTTTTTTAAAAGTTAATAAAATATATTACCTCACATAATAAGAACATTTGTAACCTGTAATGTTCAAATACATAAAATTCTAGGACTGGATCCATTTCATTACATGTTTATGTACCTGAAATATATTAAATACAACAAATATTTATTAAAGTGTGATCTGTTTCATAAAATTTACTTGTCACCTTTATTGTTTAATTACACATTAAATGTTTAAAGATGGGCTTTTTCATCTGGTTTGTGTCATGATGTGGTGTGGCAGTGGACACAAACACAGCGGGCAGTGGACATACTTTATGTGGATGTTATTTTAATGAACAAAATAAACGAACTAAATCCAAAATCCAGGGAAAACAAGGAAATCCAAAACACAATGAAACAGGAGACAAGGGATAACAAAGGGTAACATGAAGATCTAAACCAGTGTTTCTCAACCCTTGTGCTCACCGCCCCCCTGTCCTGCATGTTTTAGGTGCTTCCCTTCTGCCACACACCTGAATTGTATCTCTAGGTGATTAACAGGCTTCTGCAGTACTTGATGGTCATGCAATAATTTGAATCAGCTGTTCTGGAATAGAGGCACATCTAAAACATGCAGAGCAGGGGGGCGGTGAGGACCAGGGTTGAGAAACACTGATCTAAACAAAGAAAAAAACCTAACTAGAATTACTAAAGGAAGATATATATATATACCTTCCTTTAATAATATTAAATATCAATTTTTTACTTTAAATATGATTAATTTCTTCACCTGTTTACATGCAACTTGAAGTGCTTGAATCAAATGTTTCATGACTGTTTACCACATTAAATTATTGAATGAGAGAAAGCAGCCACTTCCAACTGTACACATATTTCTGCAGCCTTGCTGAGCTCTCCTGGCGTTTCCTCATCAGCCTCTCCAACTTGCTCCTCATCTACAGCCTCTGGAACTGTGTTTTCATTATTTACCTCTTCTGGGGTAAATAATAAAAACAGTCTCTGTAACTTGATCCCCCACTTGTTGATGGTCTTGCTGTTTCGCCTCTTTAATTGACGCCCATGTCGGTCCGATGTTGTGGCGTTTACCTCGCAGTGACCCATATTCAGTGCTGGAACCCAGTCAGGATTGATCTCATCCATTTCATACGTCGGTTTTCCTTTAAGAGGACATATCAGAACACACATCAGTATTAATACTGTAAATCTGATAACACACACAAAAAAAATTAAATAGTTTACTTCACAATAATGTAAGAACCTCGATGTCCACTGACAAAACTCGGACTACGCTACATAAACAATATTAGCCCGACCTAAACAAGGTTGACCCACTTAAATGAACTCAACAGAAACTGATCATGAGTACACCCGGACAAAATCATAGCAAAATAAATTATGACACAGCACTAACAAAGCGAATTTAGACTCAGCAGAATGGAAATGTCTGGAGCAAACTTGTAGGTATCTGGGGATGTTGGAGAAGGTAACATCAGGACGTCTCACCGCTGACACCAGGACATTCGTCTTCTTTTCGTTAGCTCCGATAGCTTAGCCTCCTCGCGTTGTTTCCAAGCAGGAAAATAGTGAAACGAAAGTCCGTTTTACATCTTTTTACCTTTTCGGTCGTGTGATCGGACATTACGCCCAATAACGCAGCAAGTTCGTGCCATAGCTAAAATATCTGTGACAGTCGTTTTTGTCGGTGGCGACAAAGATGGCGCTGATACCCCTCCGAATAGAGCAGTGACGTCACGCTCCGAAGCTCTATTATGTTGTACAAAAAAACCCAACAAAACAACAAATAATTTTAGTACATGTTATGTGTCAAAAGAGGGCTTAGGAAATAAAAATACAAAAAAAAAATAAATAAATTACCAAAAGGGCACTTTTGGCAAGGAGCAAAAAAGTGCCCTTTTGGTACTTTTTTTTTTGGTACCCCCTCCCCCCCACTCTGTGTGTAAGCATTTTATGATGTGCCTATTTTGTGCGGGTAAGGGATGGTTGGGAATTTGATCTGGTATGTTAATTTATGTATGTCAATATGAAAAACTTTAATAAAAAAATAAATAAATAAAAGTATCTCACTGTTCTATATGGGACATGGACAAACCAGACTCAAATTATGTAACTTATTTGGTTTCACTCCTTTATTTATTTTGAAGAGGTGAAGAAGAGAAAACAGGAACGGTTGTCAGATTTCAGTGAATTTCGTAAAAGTTAAAATAAAACAAAACTTCTACTGATGAAACAGTGTCATGTATTATTTATGTTCTCTGTCCTGTTATATTAAAATAGGCATTATAAATCATTTATTTCAAGAGAAAGATTACATTTTTAGATTATCATTTTCTGTTACAGAACTGACAGAGGAAAACAAAGCTATAGGTATCATAGCATAACATGACTAAAGAAATAAAAAAAACTGTTAAAATTATCAAAATATTGAGAAAGACGATTCAGTATTCTAACAGTTTATCTCACTAAGGTTTTAACATGAATGAAAAAATAGGGAAAAAAAACCTTACTTGTTGCTCATTAAATCATAAAATCTTATTCATTAATTTCCCATGTGGGGTATTTTATGACATTTATCTCCCGGACGAATAATATTGTCAGTGCTCCTCTAAAACATATGGATTAATTTTGAATGTGTCTGTAAAGTTTTAAAACACAAGAAAAAATGCAATGAGACTTGATTCCATCTAGATAAAAAAAGCAAAATGTTTACATATTGTAACCCATATCATTATTAATATTTGACGGTTCAGTGCTGACTTTCTATCTCACATCTTAGGGTCACTAAAATAATTACAATAAGAAGGAAAAACATTAAGACTGACGATGAATATGAAATAAAACTAACACTTGAAGTCATATAATTCTTAACTAAAAGCTTAACTCAAGCAGGACGTACAAACCAAACGTAACTGCTTTTTCATTTATTTTGCAGAGCCTTAAACATCAATGTTTCTATTTACTGCTCAGAATCAACCTCACAATTTTAGGAATTAAATTAGATTTTATGAACAGCTGCCGATTTCTCATAAACTACACATTTCATTCAGACTTTCAATGGCATCATCTTTACTGAAGTTTTTCCAATCCTGAGGAATTTCTCCATGACCCTGGAATTTCTTATTATAGTACTGTTCCAGTTCCTTTTGAAAGTGGCAGACAAACCATTTCCAGAAGGCCAGCTTAGAGTTATCAGCTGTAATGCTCCATGAAGCATATGGTTCACCAGCAGTTGGGTACTGTTTATAAGGAACTAGACAATCTGACTCATTTGGGTGAAAGTTTCCATCACTTGCAACTAATGTGGTGCAGAAATCAATGACCAGATCATCTGTTCCTCTGTAATGCCAACTTCTAACCCCATTGGGTCGATGAAAAGGAACGCTGTGCTTCTCAGGTCTGTGGTCCTTCAAAGTGTTGGTGCAAACAGCAGCACAGAATGGACACGTTTCCCAGCAGCAGTTACACAGCTGATCAATCAGGATCTGATCAGGTTTGTGTCTGCAGTCATTCACCTTTTCCAGGGAGAGTTTGCTCATCTCTGTTGTGATGCTTTTCAGGCCTTTCTCTATCTCTTCTTTAAGGAAGTCAAAATTGTTTATGTCACTGAAGTTTTGACAACTAACAATATCAAGTATCAACTTTGGTTTTAGTTTTCTAGAAAATTCCTCCACCCACATTTCTATGTTTCCCTTAATGTGTTTGATTTTCTCTGTTGCCTCAAACAAAGCCTGACTGATGACTCTGCTGATTTCTTCTACATTTTTCTTCAGGATATTCTGGGCTTTAACTTTCTGTGTCATGAACATGTATTTCTTTACTTGTTCTTTGATGAAAGCCTCGACTTGAGCTCTTGGATTTTGAATGTAGGTGATGAATATGTTAAAGTCTTCTTTCTCTGCCAGAGATGCCAACACATGTTTTTCTAAGTTCAGTCTGTTCCCATTGAATGCAGGGAAACTGCACATCATCTGTCCAGCAATATCAACTCCAGTCTTGTTACAGACGGCTTCAACAGCAGAGACTTTGAGTTTTTCACACATAATTTCTCCAAACACCACAGCAGATGAACTTCCTTTGCAGAAGCTTCTGAAAATTTTGTAATACTCATTTTTCTTGGTGTCCAAATAAGTGAACACATCATTTTTCTGTCTGTAGATCTTGAAGGAGTTTAAGATCCAACCTTCTGCCCTGTCAAAAACATGCAGTGAAAGATCAACTGAAAACTCCTTCTTGAATACATAGTTTCTCTGAGATTCAAATTTTTCTATATGAAGTTTAATATGTTGAGCCAATTCCTTTAAGTAAGTTGATGTAAAGCCTCTTGTTGCAACAGGTTTGCTCTTAACGACTGAAAGGCATTCTTGTTCAACTTCATTAATAAGTAATCTGATCTGTTTCTGTTCTTCATGTGGAAAAACTTCATGTGGAAAAACAGTCATTTTAAACATTTTCCAAACACCCCCAACGCTTCTCTTTGTTTTTATGTAATAAAAATAATCACCATGTTGTGACAGACTTTTGTATCTCTTACTTCTTTTGGACTCATCAATGAGTCCCCATTCAACACCAAGTTCTTGAAGCACAGCAATCTGATCTTCCTCCAAGTTTATATTCTCAATGGGTTTTGTATCAGAGGTTAATTCCTTAACCCAGTGACTCCAAATGGTGCTGAAATGTGCTTTTAGTTCCTCTTCATCTGCTGCAATGCATTTTAACTGGTGAGCGAGCTCTTTGCTCTTCTGGAGTAGATAGTTTTCAAACTCTGTCTTCTTCTTGTCAAGCATTTTTCTAGCATTATTTTGCTGGATTACTTCATCCAGTTTTCTCTTCACTCCTCTCACAAGTTCCTCATGAAACTCTTTGATTTTGTTCTCAAATTGGCCCCGCCACTGAACCAACATCTCTTTGTCTTTGTCATCTTCAAAGTAAGCTGCCATATGTTTTGTTACATCTTCATATGTTTTAGCCATTTCTTTGATAAGGTCATTCTTGTCAACTTTGTCCAGTTGGCCTTTTTCAATTCTAGGATAAAGTTGGTTTTCAATGTTCAGCATCTCACTCCTCAGGGCCCAAGTCCAGTGCCCATATTGAACCTCCAGTTTTCTGTAAACTGCAATTTCTTGGGTGTTTTTGAAACTAAAAACAAAGTGTTCATTCATCAAGGCGTTCCACAGGTCTTGGATTTTGTTGTTGAAATGTGACAGAGTGATCCCAGTAGACTGTTTGGCTTTAGACAAGATGATGGACTTCAGTTCTTGGACACTCTCACTATAACCTGGATTTGGAGGAGCCATTGGTGGACTTCCCTCCCACAGCTGAGCAAAATATTTTACATCTTTTTGCACATCAAATGCGATGACATCACTGAAGCACTCAACATCACACACTTCCTCTTTGGCAGCAAGTTGAGTCATCTTGTCCAGTTTTTCTTGCAGTCGTCTCTTTCCATCCATGTTTTTCTCTGCTGCTGTAATATCTGTGACGTTCTGATGGACAAACACACAACTTGGAGAAAGCTTGACTTTCTTCATCCTCATGAAAGCCTGCACAACAATCTGTAGGACATCCTGCATCTCAGCTGGATTCTCACCAAAGATGTTGATCAGTGTCATGTTTCCCAGACCAACAACAAATGTTGCAAGTTCATTGTCATGATGAAGGGTAGCATTACCTTCTAACTCAAGAGCTCGCAGTCCTTCAGTGTCTACAACTAGAATGTAGTCAAACTTGTAGTTATCCTTGATTTCCTCTGAAAGCTTAACCAGTTGCATGTAGGCACCCTTGGTGCATCTCCCAGCACTGACTGTAAACTGCAGGCCAAACATGGCGTTCAGCATCGTTGACTTTCCGCTACTTTGTACACCCAGAACTGACAGCACAAAGACTCTCTGGTCACCAAGTTTCTTGATTACTTCTTTTAAGAGACTAGAGATCCATATTAAAGGCACGTGGCCTGCATCCCCATCCATCAGCTCCATCGGGTGTCCTGATATCATCAGATCTGCAGCCAGCTCAGGGTATTTAGTCCAATCAGGCTGTCGGCTCAGTGATAGTTTATTCAGAGTTTTATGGGCTTCATAGATCTGCCCCATCTCTCTGAAGATGTGTTCCAGACCAAAGGTTGCTGATTGAAGCTTTTTTGACAAGAGTTCAAGCTCAGTTTGTTTGTCTTTTAATTGAGTAAATTTGTCATGTTTTTTCTTCAAGACCAAGACCTCTGACCAGGTTTTATCATATTTTTGGAGAATTGAAGAAAGATCATCTGTGGAGAGGGCATCTATGAGGATCTGAGCCCATGTCAGGAAATATTCTCTTTCTTCTGGTGGCAAACGCTTGAGGCTCTGAGTGAACAACCTCATCAGTTCACGATTGGACGCATCACACTGTTTCTGTCTTAGTTTCAGTAGCTGCTGACTCTTCTGACCCTTTTCTTTCTCAATGTCTCCCTTTAGATGATGCAACTCTTTATTGATTTTGCACCAGTTGGACCAAAGTTGACCTTGGCAGGGAAGAAATGTATCTTTGATTTTGGCAACGTCCATCCCTTCAATCAATTCAATTATTTTAATTGCAGCAGATTTCCCTTTCTGGCAGATTTTCTGATCTTCATCTACTTTGATCCCAGAGACATCAGCCATAGTTTCCAGTCTGAAGGATGTGTGGGGTCCAGACAAAAGGCTTTTTATAATCTTTTTTAGTTCTTCAGAAACATTCGTCTGGCTCCTTTCTTTCAGACCCAGTTTATATTTTTGAGGTTTCATCTGAACTGCACTACACTCATTGTCAGCACTGAGAATGATTAGAGGCTTTGAAGACGTGTAAAGCATAGAAATGACTGCAGTACTTTCCTGGCTTTTTTCCAGAGTTGGCACAAGAACAACAATGACTGAAGACATTTCAGTCAGGATTTCACACTGTTTTACATTTACTAGAGAATCCCCATGAAGATTACAGAAGGCAATGCAGTCAGTAAAGAAATCATTGGGTTTTCCAGCAGGATAGTACCAGGCAATCTCTGCCACCCCATCCATCAAATGACGAGATTTGGTGCTTCCTTTACAGTTTCTGTGGAAGAATGTGTCGTGGCGGTCGTTGATCAAGGCATTCATCAGCTGAGATTTGGACAAAGACATGGAGCCCAGTCGAAAAAATGAAACCATGGGAGTCTGAGCTTTGTAGATTGGCATGCTCTTCATGGTGACAGTGGTTGCATTTTCTTTGGTTGTGCTTATTTTCCATGTTTTTGTTAATTGTCTGAATGTCCACAAAGGACAGTCAATATTTGATGTGAGAGGATCAGGAACAAGCAGTGGTAAGGCATACTGACACTGTGACAACTTTGTGATCATTTTCTGTTTAAGGAAGCTGTCTGAGAAGTGAAATGCTGCCATTTGAACATCCATTGGGTGAACATGATTCTCTTTTGACTGCTCTATGTCTATGTTAGTAGTAAAAAGAGCATCTAAGTCATCGTCGTCTGTAACAGCACTGTCAGACACTGGAACAGCCTGTGAATTGTTCACATCAGAGCTTTCTTGCTGAACAGGGATGTATCTGGCTCTATAATCTAACATCATTAACCTCTGAAGAAAAGCTTCAGCTAGATCTTTAATAGAGATGCCAGTCTGTTTCACAGGTCGACGTATCTGAAGAAATTCTTTTTGTGACCACTTTGTTTTAGAATTGTTCTGAAGGTCAAGTGCTTTAAACAATTCATCTCTCTCTTTTTGAAGTACTTTTCCTTCTTTCTCTGAAGAATTGCATAGTGCCTGCAAAGAATATATGGATTTAAAAGGAATTTCAGATTTAAAACAGCAAACACAACAAAGTGAAAATATTTATAAATATATAAATATGTTTATATATTTATAAAAATATAAATATATGATTTATATTAAAAATCATTAAAAATGAACATTTCTGACCTTTAGTCTGTTCCGATCCATATTAAGGGCACCTGCAGAACACCAGTTATTTCTCAGATTAGTCAAATGTAACTGATGACAAATAAATTGATCAAATATGCAAGTAAATAACAAGTAATTATATATCAGAGTTGGTGGGCGGTTGTGTGAATGGATGTTGTTGTAAAAGGTTGCTTTCCTGACCATGCTGATTTCAGATTTTTCTGCTCTGTTTTTGTCATTCATCTCTGTACCTGTACTAACATGTTCCTTCATTGAAATGCTCGAAAGATGCTTTATATTTTTGTGAATGAATAAGGTCAGAATCCCTTAATTTTTTCACTGGCTAAGAGTATTTGGGTGGCGTTGTTGAAAAACTGTCTGATTTGTTCGGACAAACGTCCATTGTGAATGCTTGATTATTATTGGTCCAAGTTTGACAGGTTTTCTTACGTAACTTACGCATTGGGGAGTAATTTCTCACGATAGTGGCAGACAACAGAAAGCATGACAGCAGAGAGCAGGAATGAAAGTAAAAGAAGAGCTTGACAAGGAGGAGTGGCTAAGCCTGTCACGATAACACATTTTGCTGGATAATAAATTGTAACCGAACTTATTGCGATATTGTTGTTTTGAGACCATTTTCNATCTTCCAAGCTGACTAGCGATCTTTCTATTTTCCAAGCTAGCTGACGATCTCCTAGCTATATTCCAAGCTAGTTAACGATCTCGTAAGGTAGCTAGCAATCTTCCTAGCTAGCCAGCTACCTGTCTAGCTCGATAAATAGAATACGATTGTAAGCTACATTGAAGTTTGTTGCTGTGCTGTAACAAAATGTGAACAAGTTCAGTGATTATGTCCTTCTCATGCCTTTTATTTATTCAAAGCAGTTTAGTACTTCTCTTGGGGTGTTTCCATTTTAAAATGTGAACTCTTGGCAGCAGGGAGACTCTTTCTGCACCATATTTGATGCTCATGTAACCTGATTAAAACCTTTTAATTGCAAAGGGCCAAGACCAAAATTCACCAAGACTGCACTCAAAAATGTTGTAATTATGTGCACAGCATGGGCAAAAGTTAGACTGGCTTCAAACACATCTGCGAGTGCGGACCCCTCGAGGGGATGAAATCCCATAACGAGGGTATCTGAGGCCTAATGTTGGGTTTAAGTACTCATCTCCATGTCATTAGGAAATATGCACTACAAAAAACCCCCTTTCAACAACATAAAGCATGTTAAAAAGGAAACCCAATGCTGCAAGTAGAAAATGGGAAAAGACTTGTTATACAACTGTACAGCTGCTAAGTGGCTATGCAAGCGAGGCGGAGAAAATCAAACGGCTTTGGATCAAAAGACAAAATATAATTTTTCCCCTGTCTCCGATTACTGTGTGTGTGTGTGTGTGTGTGTGTGTGTGTGTGTGTGTGTGTGTGTGTGTGTGTGTGTGAGTGAGAGAGTCAGTCAGCTTATCCACACATAGGAAACAGTGTGGGCTGCAAACACTCCAGGCAATTCCGCTTTTCTTTTTTCTTTCCCAAACGGTTGCGTGTGTAAGGCTGTGTTAGAGTGTAAGGGAGAGAAGAATTGTGGATGTGGGTGTTTGAAGGGTTTTGTGTGTGTGTGTGTGTGCGTGTGCAAGAGAGTGTGTCTGTTGTGATAACAGTGTGGGTGTGTGTTGAGGGGGCGCAAACAGGTCTTTTCTAAATGAGGGGGAGACGAAGAGATCAGAAGAGAATTCGACACAGAACAGATCTCCAGTCCTCCAACATCCACTGTTCCCCTGACAGCTTCTTTTTTTTTCTTTCGTTTATCTTATTGCTCTTTTTTTCCCCTTCTTGCCCACTTAAATGTGCGTCTTTGTGATTAAAGACTACTCTCTTCTCAGCCTGATTTAAAAAGTAATCTGGTTTTAATTTTATACATATAGGTTTAATTACATGGTCAAGCAATTTAGCACTAATTAGGCTCCAGTTATAAGGAAATCTGTTTAAAATGCATATCTGACATCTGGAACTGGTCTGTGTTGTACAATGTGCACAGAAGTGGCTGCTTCTCTTCATCTCTTGTCATAACAAACGTCGTATGGCAGAGAAAATAATTAGAGGAGCTGCTTTTACAGCATTAGAAGGAAAAATCACCATGAAAGCATCGAAGCTTTGTGTGAATGTAAATGGTAAAAATACACCGTGTGAAACGATGCGTTATTTTATTACTCATTGTCTAAATCCAACCATCTTCACAGGTTTCATATCAGACAAATTATTTATATTCATTAAATGCGAGAAGAATGGACAAGAGTTTTCTTTTTACGTCAAAGTTATAATTTTACATATAGTATGCTATGAGTACTACACCTCTGAGCAGTTTGTAGAAGTCCTGGTGATCATCTAATTTATTAAAAAATATTATGTTAGAAAAAAATATAAAACAGAAACAGATAAATATTATTTAAATGACTGTCCGTCAAGACTCTGGGTTTTTGGGTTGGCTGTTTAACCAGTTATGTTCCAGTTCACTTTTCTGCAGCTCTTCTTGGTCATTTTGGCTCCGTTATTTGATTGGTCATGTTCTCATTTACCCTCGCAGTGTTTCTAGTACGTTTTATTTCGTCACTCTAGGTCTAGTTGTTATTTAGAGTCAGAGTGATTCTAGTTAGGTTTATTACTCTGTCTAGTTCTGTCGGTTCTTATTAAATGTGTCCTGTCTCTGTTCATCATGTTTGTTTCTTCTTAGTTATTCTTAGTGTTTGAATTATTGCTGCTCCTGCTCCAACTACTCACACCTGTAATCAGTTAGCTCATCAGTCCTGTTCTCTCCTCTCTGGTTGTCAGTTTGTCTCGTTCCTTCATCCTGTTACTCATGTCATCCTCCCTGTGTCATCCGTTCCACCCTCTCGTCTCCAGTTATGTTTTATTTTTGGCTTTCTCTTGTTCCCTGGACTCTTGACTTTCTAAGTGGACTTTGTCGTTTTTCTTCATTAAATTCTCAAAGCTGCCTGACGTCTCTACCCTGCTGCATTTGGTCCACTCATCTTATTTGTCATGACACAAGAACACAAAGTGCAGACTGAAAAAGTGCTTATTATAACTTTATTTTTTTTAATATGCACTGTGTCTTTAAAGTCGAGTCATTTTTCTAAATATTTTTCTAATTTCTAATAATTAATTAGATCTTGATAAATCTAATTTCATCAAGGAATTGTAGACACTCGTAAAATAAAACATAATTAAACTTTATTAGCAAGGGACTTTTTTCTTTCATTTAAAGATTGAAAATCATTTTCACCACAACACACCTAAATCCCTGTACAAGATTTTTAAATCTGGCTTTGTAATCAGTTAATTCACATAATAGGAGATAATTTGTGTTTGTAATTTAAGGGCGACTCCTCAAACACACCGATGTGTGTTCTCACGTTAGTCTCACTGCATCCTCAGGTCAGAATCAGGATTCAGAGCATTTAAAAAAAAACTTTTTTAATGTTCTTCGATCCGACACACTGTAATGCACCACATGTCCTGCCTCCGTTTTTACAGCTTTTTTTTTTTTTTTCCGTCTGTCTGGAGGCTGGCTGCTCCGGGCCAGGCTCAGCAATCCAATCTGTATGCAAAGTTTGAGGTTGTAAAGTTTCATCTGCACCAGGACAACTGGAAGCAAAAAGCTGGATGATGAAACAACCTGTAATCCAAACAGGTTTGTGATGACGATTGGTCTTGGCCCAAGTTGACTTGTTCCAACACTGCCTAATAACACCAACGGCCTGTTTCACTGCTGATATTTCATTAAGTTATTTCAGAAACCTAAAAATGTTCCAAGCATTTTAAGTAGACGTAATATCTGCATCGGTTCTGGCCAATGACTAGCTCAAGCCATTCGGTAGCAGTGTTAAATACAGCACCAGCGAATGAAAGCAGCTAAAAGTCATGTTTCTATGGTTTTCATTGAGGATTTCTTTATGCTACAGTAATGTAGCTGTCAAAATGCCACTCCGGCTTCCAGGTACTTTTCTCAGCCTGTTATTTGACACGTCAGTGTTACAGCTGATCTTATTAAAGAAAGTTCGACAGAGTTGATGGGAACATAAATGGTGGTAAGAAAATGGAAATCCTGTTAGACATGAAAAGACCTCAGACGAGGAGGGAAAAGTTAAACTTCCAGCAGAACAATAACCCTAAACATGCATTCACAGCCAAAGAGTATCAAAAATACAACTCAGATACTCTCAGAATCTCTGGTAAAACATAAAAATCGATGTTCTTAGAGGCTCTCCATCCAGTCTGAATGAGCTTGAGCTAATTTGCAAAGAGGAATGGGGGAAAAAAAATACAAGTTTAGTTGTTCACAGTTGGTAAAACATGCACCAGACGAACTGAGGTTGTTGCTGCTGCAAATACTTGTAGTAAGTATACTTTTCAGAACTTTATTTGGGGGGGGAGTTGAAAACCAACCGTCCCTCTACTCCCTCTTCATGATTATAAAGTACTTTGTTTTATTCTGTCTCAAAAGCTAAACAATACGACATGAGACTGAAGTTGTAACATGACAAAATCTGAAAAAGTACAAGTTGTTTTCCATCAGCTTCCGAACATGTGACTGTCATTATCTAAGTGAGCATGAGGAAGAATGTCACCTGTTCTTCTCTTCCTCTTTCTCTGTCTCGCTCACTTATTGTCTTCCCACATATTCCGATGAGAAGCAATTAATGATCTACTTAATACTCCTGTCACTTAGATTAAAGGAACAGGAGTTTTACAGTGGCAAAATGTATAATACCATGGAGTCCAAACAACTGAATGCACCAGTAATAAATGCAATCATCAATGCAAAATTTAGGTTATTTTCGCTTGATACTGACCCAACATGTTATACAGTTAAATACAGTCAATAAACAGTTGAAACAAGAAGTTTACATACACTTAACAAGAAGACTTGCACTTTTTTCCCCTCTGTGTCGTAAGCTAAATCAGACCAATCTTTTTAACAATGACAGAGAGCCTCGGTGATATAATTTCTTTGGAGTCTGACAGACTAACTGAGATTTGAGTTA